GTGTTTATTTGGATATAGTGTGGTGTGCTCCTTTGAGCGACATAAAACCGTCATACTCCAACTGCCGTTCTCCCCCACCTTTCATCCTTGTGTCGTGAAGATGTTACCTCGCTCTGATGGTGTCCGTCGTATGACGGACGAAAGCTTAGCACCTTTTCACCGGAATCTAAGGAGATTGCATGAATCTTGCAGTAAAGCCAATCGACAGCTGGTCAAGAGCAATCCGCCGTCGTCTCTGGTGGAACCGACCTTCGAATATCTTCACCCCCAACACTTTCACTCGAAATGCAAGTAAGTTCAACAATTATGAAACAAGAGATTCCTCGAAACCCAACTTTTCTTCGCATAAAATGAGGTTGACACCTTACCCGGAAATCTTTCGATCCCCTTTTCAAGATCATGACATAACAAGACGTTGTGCTTCTGTAGCAATGGAAATGTATTAGAGACCTGCTGACCCTATCCAGAATGCCATGAAGACCAGAATGGTGTAGCCTTTTGCATGGTCGCAGTTTCATTTCGTTGTATAAAAGTTATTTGACCTTGGTTTCTCAACTAGAAGAACGCACCTCCATTGGCAAATGTAGATATGGACAAATTAGAAGACAATTTCTAGACGTCACCACTGCAACCAAAAGTTCTTATGTGGTACCTGGAAGAATAGTTTGTAATATGGTAGCATGAAAGAATAAAATTGGAGGATTTCCTGAAGTTTATGAACGTGGTTAATGAAAAAATAAAATTCACAACGAATGTAGAGGAAAAGGGGCGCTTGGCCTTACTAGATGTGGAGATTATTCGCTCTACTGGGAAACTCAAAAGAAAATTGTTCCCAAAGAAGTTGTATGCCGAAAGAATCCTCAATTTCGAGTCTCATAACAACTAAAGAATGATGATAGCGGTATTGAGGAGCATGATCATCAGAAGCCTACGATTAACGGACGTGGATAACTTGGATGAAGAATGGGAAACATTGACTCGGATATTCCTCTGTAATTGATATCCGAGATAAGTAATTCAAAGAAACAAACTGGCTGTGAAGAGTTCTTATGCGCTACCTGGATGACTAATTTACAACATGGTGGCATAGAAGGAGACTGGCATAATGGGGAGCATGATGGTCGAAAGAATACGATTAACGGACGTGGAATTCTGGGATGCATAATTGAACAAATGGACTCGGATCTGCCTCGGCAGCGGATGCTGAAGCGAAGTAAAACAAACAAACATGCTGGCCGTGAAGTGCCGACGGCAGGAGGGAGATTATGAAAGAAGGAGAAAGATGGAGAAAGACTTACAAAAGTGGATATGTGCCCCTTCCTGTGAACTGGTTCAAAAAGTATGGCCAATATTGAGAAAATGGAATGTCCAGGGGACTAGGAAGGAAAAAACAACATTCTTCATGAGAGGGTGGATAAATTGGATTGCTCGGGAGTTTACTGTATTGTATGCGGTGCTTGGGAACAGAGGTATTTTGACGAAACTGAGAGAAAAATCGGCATACGAATCAAGCAACATCGAAGGTTCTGTAGGAAATTGGATACCGAAAGATCAGATATAGCGGAAACGATATCAATTGGAAGG